GTAGCTCCCCGCTCCTGGGGGCCGGGGCTCTGCCGGGGTGGCTGTTTTCAACAGGACAGGGAGCTCCGTGGGCTGTGCAGAGCGTTCCCAAGGAATGTGGGTGCTGGGTGATGCTGGGGTGAGTTTTGTCAGCAGTTGGAATTGCTGGCAGGGGAAATGAGTTATCCCAGTGCCCCCACCCCTCCGGGCACCCTGGGCGCCCACCAGCACCAGGTGCTTCCTGTTTGGGCACAGGCTGACATTTTTGCTGGATGAGACAGTTTTGCCGGCAGATGCGGAGCGTGTGACATCATGAGGGGACTCGGCTCAAAACACAAGTCAGCAAAACGAGCCTGCCCACGTCCTTGCCCACCAGCCTGCGTGGGCAGAGGGGTGCACGTGCCCACTGTGCTCCCCAGGCACTGGTCTTGGGAGCACCCATGGTGAGCCCAGCTGGGGTCCGTGGGCTTATCCACCGCCCGGCAGCAGTAATTACAGAAAAATGAGGAGGTGGAGGTGTCGAAGAGCAAACTGGGAGCTAATCCTTGCTGAGTGTGTGTGTGCCCCGTGGGGACGGCATGTGCCACCCGCAGGGTCCCCCTGCTATGCAGAGGGGGATCAGGCAGGTGGGGACTTCTCCCTCTGTCAGCACTTCTGAGCCGGGAGCTGGTGGGGAGCAGTTGCCTTGCAGCGGTGGGGGCCACTCATTGTAAATGGCAGCGGGTGTGTGGGGTCTGCCCACTGTGAGCCTTGAGCTGATTCTGAAAAGGGGGCAACTGAAGCCCCCCTTTGCAGAGGGGCAGCCGTCATATGGAGCAGGGAGATGGCAGAGCAGCACCGAGGGTCCCCAGATTGTCCCAGCCCTGTCACCATCTCCAGGTTGGGTCTGGCACTGCTGTTCCTCTCTGCTTTTATTTTGTTGAGCATGCTTGGAGGATAAATGGTTTCTTCCCTTAAAAATTGTGCTTTTGGGGAATACAGGCTTGTGAAGAACAGGAAACTTGGAGTAAAATGGGAGTTTTCTGTCAATATTTTTGCTAAATGAAACAATTTCCTTTTCATTTCTCTGCATCATTTGAAAGTTAGACTAATCCTACCAACTCGGATGAAGCCTGGTGCTGTGCAGGGTCTGGCCTGGCTTGCTGTGGGGTGGCAAAAGGCAGCTGAACAGTGTTGGCCATGCGTGGCTACCGGTGGCCTTGGGGTGAGAGCTGCCCTCACAGCCGCACCGTGGCTATTGGCAGCCTTGCGAGAGCAGCGTGGTGGCTGCCTCCACCCCCAGCGCTGCTGCTGCCGTTTCTCTTTCCAGAGCAGCTTGTTTCAGCACACTTTAGTCCCCCTTGATGTTATTTCAAGCTGATGCTTCCAGGAGTCGCTACCGTAGGTGCGAGACCTCCACCCAGCTCGGCAAAGCCGGCGTGGGATTGCATCAGGCTGTTGTTACCGAAGTGGCACTTGCTGGGGCCGCGGAGCTATTTTACTGCCTGAGCTCATTTATTTTAGCTCCCTCCTGCTCCCCTGTGATTTGCACACAAGGCTCACCGGCTCCCCCAGAGCAACTAGGAGCCTGCAGCTATTAAAAGTTGGGTACTTTGCCCTCCCGAGGGCTCCTTCCCTGGAGAGCTTGGGCTGGTGGAGTGGTAGTGAGCCCCTTGCCTTCCTCCCCAGCTTGGACTCACCAGCATCCCCTTGCCGGAGGCATTGTCTTCTGGGCAGCCTGCAGCCAGGCTGGTTGGGGCGATGCTGCTTTGAGCTGGCTGTGGATAGAAGCAACAGCAGCAAAATTCTCTGCAGAGCTGGTTCTCTGCAACACTGCAGAATCACGTTGCAGTGTCAAAGTGGGATAAGGCTTTTCTGTCCACTTGTGAATGAAGGAGGATGGAGGCTGTAAGGGAAACAGGAGGGCTGAGAGGGTGGCTTGCAGCCCAGTGGGCATTAACTCTGAAACCTACTGACTGTAATGCCAGTATTAAAGCTCATCTCGTTACCAGCCCAAATGTGTGCTGCTGTCGCAGTGCCAGGTTGCAGGTCCCATAGCTGAATCCTCTCCTCACCTCCCACCTAGATCAACCCGAACTGTGGAAAACACCCCACTGCCTTGCCACTGTGTTCCTTTGTGTTCTCCTTTTCTGTCTTCAGGCCTTTGGTCAGAGCAGCCATGAGATGCTGGTTTGGGGTTTTTCTGCGTGTAAGGGTTTACTCAAGTGTGTGTGCTCAGGGTGGTATTTTCACAGTGCATTGCCCAGCCTGCCAGCCAAGGGGGAGGTCGTGGGCGTGCTGGGGGAGGCTGTGTGGTGTTCCCCTCTCATCAGCTGCCCCTTGTTCCCCTTGCAGGACTGCCCCCAGATCTTACCCTCCACCCAGATCTACATCCCCGTGGGTGTGGTGAAACCCATCACCCTGACAGCCAAGAACCTGCCCCAGCCGCAGTCCGGCCAGCGCAACTACGAGTGCATCTTCCACATCCCCGGCAGCACCACCCGTGTCACCGCCCTGCGCTTCAACAGCACCAGCATCCAGTGCCAGAACACCTCGGTGAGTGCGTGGGGGCCTCGGCGAGGGCTTCATTTGTGGGCTGCTTGTTCCTGTCCTGCCCCGGGACCTTCCTGGCTCGTTGCACGGCCGGGTTTGCTCTCCCATGGGCAGGTGATGGTGCTTGTGGAGTGTAAGGTGGGTTCCCCCCTCTCCTCATTCCCCCAGGTGCACAGGGAGGCTGCTGCTCGGGGTTGTTCTGAATAGGATCAATGCCAGAGCTGCCCCAGGGGAGCTGCCAGGCTTTAGGAGCACTTCCAAGGAAATTGGCTTTGAAAAGCTGAAGAAAGTTGCCTGGGCTGGAGCCAGCTGGCCCGGACGTGCCGGAGCCTTGCCTCCCCCTTCTCTCTGCCTACTCTTGCTTCCCCCTGACACCAAGTCGCTTTACAGGCGGGATTGAGCTGACACCTTCTCCGGGTCCCGCTGCACAC